CGGGCTGCGCAGCCGGGGCGCCAGGAAGGGGCGGATGACTGCAAGGCAGCGCTGCAGGCTGAGCAGGCTGGTGAGCAGCACGCTGGCGTACATACTGAGCGCGCACACGTAGTACACCGCCTTGCAGCCTGCCTGGCCCAGCGGCCAGGTCTGCCCAACCAGGAAGGCCACGAAAAGCGGTGTGAGCAACAACACCGCAGTGTCAGCCAGAGCCAGGTGCAGCACGAGCGTTGCCGCCAGCGGCCGTCCCTGTGCGGGCCGCCAGCCTGCCAAGCTCCATACTACGAAGCCGTTTCCGGGCAGTCCTAGGAGCGCGGCCAACAGCAGGAAGGCAGCGCCTGTGGCCCGCGAAGCCTTGGAGCTCAGCAGCGTCTCGTTCCCCGGCGGACTGTAGCAGACCGTCATTCTTCATCTCCTACAGGGGGCTGGAAGGGGCCATAGAGGGCACTGAGGGGTGGGGCCAAGGTCCTATACTAGGACCTATGCTAAGTGAGAAGGCACTGTGCATCTCCTCGAACCTCCCTCCACTTCCCTGTAACCTACTCCCCTTGCTCTAGGAGTCTTGACTTCCTCCAGAACCCGGGGCCCCATGCAAACATGGCTCTTTCTTAGAACCCAGATCAGCTGCTCCCAGTCTGACCTCCTCCCCTCCTGGCATCTTCCCAGAGCCCAGTGGTACCCAGGCCTCACACCAGGATCTCATCATGTCCACCTCCACCTCTCTAGCCTGGCCCCTTTCTCGTGGTCCAGCCCCATTTCTTATACCTCAGGGCAAAAGTGGGCAATGGGCTGTCAAGGGGCACAGGCAGATCTACTTACTCAGCAGGGAACAGGCAGGGTCGGGGGGTCTACACGAGGCCTGGGAAAGCTGAATGGTGGAGCAGCAGTGGGTGAGGCTCCTGCTTCTGTCCTGTGGCTTTCACATTTGCAGAGGGTGAGGCGAGAATAGGAAGGGACAAGATGGGGCTCATCCTAGCCCTTTCCTGGGGCCCGTCCCATATGCTGTTCCTTCCCATCACTAACAGGCCCAGGCCTGTGGAAACCTGCCTCCCTAGAAAACAGCACAAAGCTGAAGAGGTGCGGATACGGTGCCCTGGAGATGAAGGGGAGTAGGAGCCCTCAGCAGAAGCCTGACCCTAGGCCCCACTTCGCTCCCATCACTCCTCCCTCTCTGGCCCATCCTTCCAGTCCACCTTCTGCAGCATTTGTGTTCTCTGGCCTCCCTGGCCAGTACTTGGCACAGAAATTGGCCCAAATAACTCACTCTTCCAGCTGCTCTCTTTGCCTGTTTTCAGCCTCCTGGCTCTGCTGAGTCCCTTTGTTTCCTCAGTTCCCAGCCCGCCCTCTCCCATCTCTTGCTTTGGGCCCTGCCATCCACTCTCCAGGCCCTCACTCGGTTGTCAGTGACAACTTTTAAGGCATGGTTCTAGGCCCTGAAGGAAAGAGGGAGTGCAGGGCTGTAAGGAGCCCTTGACCTTGTTGGGGAATCATAACACAACCATGAGGGGCCCATGTGACAAGGCCACACCAGGGTAAAAGACAAGAAAGGGTGCAGTGGTAGAAACATACTGAAAAGAAACTTCTCTTCTTAGAGAGGTCAGACAAAAGCTAGGAAATAAAGATACTTGAAAGAGACCCGGCAGGTAGAGTGGTAAAAAGAAAAGTAAGGCTTCTGTCCAGTTGACAGCCACAACTGGGATTCTCTGGGAGTAAGAATACCAGCACCATTGTCTTAGTTTGTGTTCCTCTAAAGCAGAGCTGAAATAAAGGTACAGGTACTCCTGTATTAGGGGGGTCAGCTCAGGAGGAGGACAGGGAAAGACAGGAGAGGAAAGCCAAGAAAGGTGTCAGTGTGCTCCACTGGTAGGCACTGGAAACCTCTGAGAAGTGTACAGAATGCCCACCATTTGAGGACTGCCCCCTGACACCCCATCCTTCATTTGTGTATTCTAAGGGTTTGAGTGAGCTGCCACAGCTTCCATAAAAGCATCTCCCATATGGGCCAAACTCATAACTGCTGTCATCCCAAGAGTGGTGGTAGGAGAGTTCCCATAAAGGAATGTCCCAAACATCTCAAGATAGGATCCATTGGAGTTCTCAATACTCGGATGATTTGCTCAAAGTATTCCCATGCTTATAGTATGGGCAGCACTGTATCCTTGTGACATACAGGGAGAGGAAGGTATGTTTACCTACCACCTGCCACAGTTCTTGTGAGGGTTTAAGAAATTTGGCTCAGGTCTGGGTCTAATTTCTTTCAATGTTTTGGCCAATATCATAAACATCTTTATCAATTCCAACAGTGTTCAAGGCCCCAGCTGGGCTCAAGCCTGAATGAGAAATGGAGCTGCCTGGGTCACAGGATGGTCAATGCATTCCGTGTATCTTGGTCAGGACACAGAAAGCAAGCTAGGGAAGCTGGAGGTTCCTATAAGCCTCCTGCACAGGGAAGCACAGATGGTGCTCATTTGAGGAGTGCACTCTGATTCTGAGCTTCACTGCTGCCACTGAAGTCAGAGATGGGATGCAGGGTACCAAAAGCTAGAGTCCTGGTGCCATCAAAGCACACCTCCTGTCCCACTCACATCTTATTCATGCTTATTTATTGGCAAAAGGAAAAAGGATAAGAGAAAAGGTGACTATTACAGTGTCACTGAGCATGCAGTTCTGGCAAAAGAAACCAGAGAAACATTGAGCCAGACCCTCGCCAACCAAAGAGAAAGGAGCAGACAGGCAGGAAGACTGCAGTTGCAGACACATCCACAGATCAGGATTCAACCTCTCCTCACACTACTCCCAGACACACTGCCTCACACTCACCTTCTCTAGGCCTCACCCAAGCTGTCACCCTACTTCCCACACTAAGCCAGTTTCCTCACCCTGGGAACAGCCTTTTCCAAAAGCTGCAGCTCACGCCTTTTCCAGTAGGTGGCAACAAAAACCGTGCAGATCATGCACAATGCAGCTTCTGGGAGGCTGGGAGCCAGAAATAGATCCTAAAAATTACCTCCAAAAAAGAAAAACCAAGCTGGGCGTGGTGGCGCACGCCTGTAATCCCAGCACTCGGGAGGCTGAGGCAGGAGGATCACTGTGTGTTCGAGACCAGCCTGGGCTACACAGTGAGTTCCAGGTCAGTCTCAACTACATAGTGAGACCCTGTCTCAAAAAACAAAGAAAACCAAACAAAGTTCCCTCCACAGAAATAAAAACACCAGAAGCCACATTCTAATCCTTTCATATAGATCCTGTTTACCTTCAATGTCTTAACCCCCACCCCCACATCCCAGCTTCTGTGGCTTTTGTTGGGCAACCCTACAGATGACCCAGTCTGGGCCCCTCCTCCTTCCCTCCCCTTGGACTTTGTCCTTACAGGCCAGGAAGGGGGTCCAGAGTCCGGGTTTGACTCATCTCCCACCTCTCCAAGGCTGAGATTCCAGCTCTGCAACAGAAAACACTGCAGCCCCAGTACAGCAGGAGTCACAGAGAGGAAGCTTTCCTACTGCCTCCCTCTGCCATGGATTACCTCCCGTTCTTGAAACCTAAAGACCTGCTCAGGTAATCCCTAGCCCTTCTCTCCACCCTCCAACTCTGGGGACAGGGGCAGGAAGGGTAACAAAACTTTCAGCCCCAACGAGATTCATTTCCCCTCCTGCCCCCTATACAGGTTAGGCTAGCCACTAACACCACTGCATGGTCTTCATCGTTGGCTAATTCAGACCTAATGCTCTGCCCTAAACCCTCCAGCCATCCCAGCCCTACCATCCTCAGTACACTCAGAGCCCCTCCCCTCTCCTCCTTCTTGACTTTTCTCCCCAACTACCAGGTCAGTATCCAACGTGAGCTCTGAGTTTGGCAGAAGAGTTTGGACCTCAGCTCCACCACCTCAGCGACCCTTCCGCGTCTGTGATCACAGGCGGACAACCCGGAAAGGCCTGACAGCTGCCAGCCACCAGGAACTGCTAGATAAGGTGAGCTTGTTCCTGGGTTCCCATAGCAGGGACAGCCAGGGGGCTTGAGAACAGTGACATCTTAGAATGATGGAGCAGAAAAGGCTGAGGTCACACAGCTGCCCCTCTAAGAGCCAAGAGTGAGGCAGCTAACCAAATGATCTCTCTTGCATTGGGTTATTTCACTTATTTTCCAGGTACAGTCATACCTTGGTACTCAAGTGTTTTTGAAACTCACTGAACTTGGTACTCAGAGGTCATTTTCACATAAAAATTTTGTCCCAGTACTTGATACACATGTTGATTCATGTTGACAGGGTACCTTTCCTGGCCAAAATAATTTGCTTGGTACTTTTCATTCTGGGGACTCATGGCACCTCCCAGAATCAATTATTGATGAGTACCAAGGTACCACTGTAATGGTACCAAGGGAAGAGGAAGAAGCAGTAGATAGAAAGATCTAGAGGGATAGAATTCAGAAGTCGGGAATGGTGAGTTGTATGAAAAACAAATTCAAATCCTGATTTTGCTGCTCCCAGTGAAATGAATGAGAAGACAGGTATGTAAATTCCTCATAGATACCTGGCACTGAGTGTACAATAAGTTAAACGGCACTATGGAGACGCTGTGGGCAGGGAAAGTGAGGTAAAATATCATAGACAGGCAGAAGTACAGATTTCAAAAGAAATGGCCAGACCTTTTTTAAGCTGGGGTCTTGCTATATTGCATAGTTTGGCTTCAAACTCCTGAAGTCAAGTGGTCCTCCTGCCTCAGCTTTTTAAGTAGCTGGAACTACAGACATGCACCATTATGCCCAACTCCTGGCTAAATTTTTAAAATTCCAAACAAGTAAGAGTAGCTTATAAGAGAGCAGGGAGAGGTAACAATGACATGGTAGGAAAAGCTGGAGGTACAGGTCAAAGGCAGAGGTGTTTGCCTACCATATCCAAGGCCCTGGATTCAATCCCCAGCACTGAGACACACACACACAGACACAGACACACACACACACACGGTCACCCCTCGTGAGAGATCCCCAATAACTAAAGGACACTGAGAGATACCTTAAGAAGGGATGGCAAAGCACCAGGATGTAGAGCTGCTACATCAACCAGTGTCTAGGGCTGAACAATGGGGTGTTGGGCAGCTAAGGAGGGGTGGGGGGGAATGGCATGAGATCCGCTTCTTCCCTCTGGGCAGGCACTGGAGACCCTGTCGCTAAGTGGAGTGCCGACACTGGTACTAGAGGAGGATGGGACTACTGTGGAGAGTGAGGACTTCTTCCAGCTGTTGGAGGATGACACATGCCTGATGGTACTGGAGCCAGGGCAGAGCTGGCACTCCGCCAGGGTAAGAGGCCCATACTGGAGCTACTTAGCCACCAATGTTCTATAGCTCTCCCCAGCCTCTTCTCTAGCCTGACCCTCATCTTGAGGCAGAAGCACTGGGAGAGCTATGGAGATGTCAAGGACGTCACAAAGTGCACACCGTCCACAGTGGGTCTGACCAGTGTTGATGAGGCTCAGTGGTGGGTGGCAGGGTGTGAGGGTCCAATGCACTGATGTGGATGCCCTACAGAGTGGGATGCTGTCATACGGCCTCGGCCGAGAGAAGCCAAAGCACAGTAAGGACATTGCCCGCATCACCTTTGATGTGTACAAGCAAAATCCTCGAGACCTCTTCGGCAGCTTAAACATCAAAGCAACGTTCTACGGGCTCTACTCTATGAGTTGTGACTTTCAAGGAGTGGGTCCAAAAAAAGTACTCAGGTCAGAAACCAACATGCCCTACAACTCCATCTTCCTTATAGTTGTGTAGTTAATTCCATAATTCCATCTCCTACATCCATTCAGCCCGCCCACTTACACCCCCTTGAGAAAAACTCCAGCTCTCAGGAAACTCGGGTTTCCCCTCATCATCTGATTTCCTCTCATCTCTGCCCTTCAGGGAGCTCCTCCGTTGGATCTCCAAGCTGCTGCAAGGCCTTGGCCATATACTGCTGGGAATTTCCTCCACCCTTCACCATGTAGTGGAGGGGGCTGAGCGTTGGCAACGTCAGGGTCGCCTCCATTCCTACTGAGGAGGCCTGAGCTTTTGCCCCCGACTCATTCTATAAGACATGACTTGAGGACTGTGACAGCATCCAGCTTCAGGACCTGCAGGCAGTGCAGACTAAACACCAGAATTCCACACTGTCTTCTGACCCCACTGTGATAGAACCCATCAGCATAATGCTTTACTCCCCCAACCAAACTTTCCTAAATATCCTATCCTGTCCTACCCACATTTCCAGCCTCCCACTTACGCTGAAAGGCCCCAACCTGTCCCCAGACATCTAGATGTCACCCTGAATTGCTGCTACATCTAGATTCCTACCAACTCCCCGTGTCCCTAAGCTCTCCACATTGTTGACAGCCCTGACTTTATCTCCAGATCTCTATTTCCTCATATCTTTCACCTAAAAAAAAAAAATTCCAATAAAAATATAGAAATGTTTACTAAGACTTTTGACTCCAATTTAAAACAGAAAAGGGCCAGGATAGGTACTGCCATTCACCCTCCGTATCAATGCCCAGTTCCAGATCCCAAGGCCTTAGTCTTCAAGTATTGCATTCAACACCCGCCTCCGCTTCGCCACTGCACTCTGCTGTTGTTCCCAAGCTTCTCGCCGCTTCAGGAAGGTAGTCAGGGCCACATTTCGAGCCACATGGTGGCCAAAAGGGTCTCTTAACAGCTCCTGGTTCTGCTCCCCTGCAAAAGGAACCGCTCATGTTTCATACCACCCACACTTGGACACAGATTCGACTTGGGGTAAAGGTCCCTCCATTCTCCCCAACCCTGGGCCGGCCACCAGGATAAACACCCTACTCTTCAAAGAAGAGAAGCCACGAGAAGAATTGGGATCAGAGACTTTACAATCGTCAACAGAGGGCAAGGCAGGAGTGGACTGACTGTTAAGGACCAGTAACCAAGACCACCCTTGGGAATTGAAGTCTGCTGAATTTAAGTCCAACCTCCAGCTACCCAGCTATCTGGCAGGAAGTTTGCATACATCAAAGAGACATAATGGTATTCACCTAGCTCTGTAGCAATTTCCTTCCGAGCCCCCAAAGCTGCTCCACTCCAGATGGCATCTAGAACACGGCTGCCGTGGCGACTACAGGCCAGAGCCACATATTGTCCCTGCATTGAGACAAACAAGGTAAGTTCTTCTAGAGAAATGTATAAAAGTTTCTTGGCAGGTAGGGGAAACAAAATTTCAAAAGAGCTTAGAGACTCAAACAGTCTGGGAACTACACATCTTATCTTGACTCTAAGGTACTGTTCTTAGGAAAGCTCATTTTCTGTACAGGCATAATGGAGAGAGGTCAAGCAGAAGACACAACTCTAACCTTTAGGCTCTGCAGCACACGGCGACGCTGCTTGCGTGTCACAGAGGGGCTGGTCAGGATGGCATCCAGTACATGAGAACCAGCAGGGCTTTGGGCCAGAGTCAGAAGCTGTGGTCCTGTCAAGGCACCCAGGCTTCGAAGTACAAGAGCGGGGTTAGAGAAGTGCAGCAGATGCTGAAGCAGTAGAGAACCCAGTACTGTCACTTCACCAAGGGCCCTAGAAGTGGCTATTTCCATCTGGAAGCAAGGAGACAGGAAATTAGGAGGCAGCTACCAAATCAAGTGAATGAGCTCATCCTCAGGGTAGTGCCACCTTGGCCTGGATGAGGTCAGAAATCTCACCACCTCACTCAAGGAGCCTCCTAGCCCACAGAAGCCAGCCCAGTGAGACACCAGCTTAGCCTCTCCCCTAACTCACCTGGTGCTCTGCAGGCACTGCCCCTTCCTCCTCTTTAAGTTCATAGTACACCTCATAAGCCATCAAAGTGGCAAAGAGAGGGACACAGGCCACCTGCCGGGAAGAGGGCTTTGCACAGTGGAATGCCTAAAGGAGAAAAAACAAAAACATGATGGTTCTGAGAACTACACATCCCTAATCTCAACTTTCTAAACAGGGAAAACATTCAGAAAAGGGGAAAAAGCCTAACTCCACAAGAAAGTAAACTTTAAAAGGGCTAGATCTTATCCACTTTGCTATATCCCCAGCCTCTACATATAACAAGGATTGAATAAACACTTATTCCTTAAATAAACTTCTCTCAGCTATAGGAAACAATTTTCATTCTAGAAATGCAAGATAGCTCTTTGATATATTTTTCTCTGTATCTGTGAACTCCCTTAGACCTCTTGGGTCTAGAGGTACAATAACTAAAAATTAGATACATCCTAAAGAGAATTTAGACTGGGCATAAATCGAATGTAAGTAACACAACTCACCTCACATAACAGCTGCAAGATCTGGGGTTGGTGAGCCCCAACTTTGCGGCAGGTCCCCACCAGGGCAACAACTACCCCTGTGTGGCCCTGGGCCAGGATAGCTTCCAGGGCAGGACTCAGCTCCTCAAATACAGGGGACAGCTAAGGAGAAACATGAGATGAAGAATCTTTGGTACTCTAGTAATAATGGATTAAGTTTTTCAGAGAAATGTTCCAGCTGAAAACAACTAAAAGTACTAGATAAAATATAATAAAAAGGTTTGCCAATGTCAGGACTTTAGCTGAGTAAGCCCAAGACACAAGGGCAGAGAGGTGCCACCTCACATAAAGAGGGGACTTTTAGGGCTGGGGATTTAGCTTAATGGTGCCGCCACATCCCTCGCAAGAGCAAGGTCCTGAGTTCAATCCCCAGTACCAAAAAAAAAAAAAAAATGAGAGGGGAGACTTTTAAACAGACTCTTCCTACGTGTAAGGGAAAACTAGAAATCACCTGCCCTTTCACTCCAACTCCCAAACCATGAGCCCCCTGGGAAGCCCACCCTGGTGCTAAGCAGCAAAGGAAAAGAGAATCAATGGCAATAGCCCAGTACAATGTAGATCTGTAACTAAGAACCCAGAGGTAGTCATGGAACTTCAAGCTGGCAACCTGAATTAAGACAGTCTCCTGCTGGTACTTTTTCCTAAGAAGCTAAAACAAATCCCCCCTGGGAGGAGGGCATCTCCATTCTAAGCTCTAGAAAACCCCAAATAAACACTTTACAGAAGGAATGGGCAGCACACTGTCAGAGATATACAGAGGCAGGCACACAATAAAATAATATCCAATAAAGAATAACAGGAAAAAACCCAGCCCAGGTTTCCAACTCACCAGCTCAGGGGTAGTGATTGCATCCAATAATCGCTGCAAAGGGAAGTTAGCAATAGGATGTGCAGCCAACATCTGTAGCTGACCCTGGAAATGATCCTCAAAGAGGCTCTGGAGCTTTGGGGGCTCCAACACTAGAAGCACCTGCTCTAAGAGTCTAGAGCTCGTTTGATCCCGCAGAAATAGCAATAGGGGGCTGGGAAAAAGGGGAGAGGATCAGGCAATTGTAATTCCACTTCATCCAAAATACATCTGTACTATATCACCTCACTCATTTCACAAAGCCCCACCAACTCTGGCTGACTCCAAGACCCTGAGCATACCTGCCATTTGCTGAGGAATTACGAGTACTCAGATAGCCAAGTGTAGCACTGCAGAGATGGGCACAAAGCTGGGGCAGTTTGCGGTGTAAGATCTGTAAGGCTACTTGAAGGCAAAAGCTGGAGATCTTGTCAGTGATAAACACTGTGGGGAGAGGGCAAAAATAATTAAATATATTTTCCAAAACCCAAACAACCTGTACAACTTCAAACCTTGAGCAACAAGGTACAAGGGACTACAGGCACAAAGAATCTATATAGAATACTTTGCAATATCAAGCCAGACCAGGTTCAAAGAGAGGAGGAATGATCTGACCTAAGGACTGAGCTTGGGAGCAATCACCTCCCAAACGATGAATTCCAGACCCTCCTCCAAATTCCCTCCTTACCAGCAATGTCCTTCAGAAAACAGGAGCTCAGGTCCTGAAGGCAATTCAAGAAGGTTTCAGGGACCTCAAAATCAGTTGGCTTACATTCCCGAGTTGGGGCCCTTTGTGCTTCTGAAGTAGAATCAAGAACATGTGCAGTGGTGAGACACAAACTGCCATCCAGAAGGAAGGAGAATTCCACAGATGAACAAGGACTCAGCTTGGAGATGTAGATCAGATGATACAACTGAAATGTCTCTTCTGGATGACTGAACTGAGACATTTCTGTTTTAATTTTTCTAGAAATTCCAACCAGTTCCCTATGGTCCACAAGAGATAGTTCAAACTCCTCAGCCAGATATGGATGGTATTCCAAAATTGGCCTTATTTAAACTCTCTGACTATATTTGTTTTTCAAAATTTAAGTTATAGCCTATGACTGTATCATGAAATAAAGTTAATGACTTTGACCAACATTTTGTTAATGAGTAGAACAGAATTATAAATGAAAGAAAATACCAGAGTGGGTTGCACATAGCTAAAGATATTATTTTCTGAACTTTTGTTTCAGTCTACATGCACCTATACACACACACATATACATGAATACATATATATATATATATGGCTAAAGATATTATTTTCTGAACTTTTGTTTCAGTCTACATGCACCTATACACACACACATATGCATGAATACATATATATATATATGTGTGTGTGTGTGTTGGATCATATTTAAAAACAAATTTCCTGTGAGTTATGGGTTTAAAAAATAGTTTGAAATCTATGGTTCTATTTCAGTCACTTCCTCTTCCTGCCCCATCCTAATAGCTGACCCCCTAAACACATCTGTACATCTTTACCTCTAGGCCTTTGTACAAACTAATCTTTGGTCTTCAGACGTTCGAGCTAATTTCTCTGCTAATTCTCCATGGTCAAACTACCTAATGAAGACTTGCTCTTTTGCTTACTCTTCTGAACTTCCTAAACTCTCCTTCCCACCAGGTCCAGTTCCCACTCTTGTAATACTTACCAGATGACTGGGAGCCACGGGGCCTGGCTCTCTCATACTCCAGAAGAGTCCCTCCTAACACTTGCAGCAGAGTTCTGACCACGAAGCTGCCATGTGTGTCTCCACAGTAAAAAAGAAAATCATCACACACCTCAGAGGCCAGTCCCAGGACCAGCTCCTCCAGAGCCTCCAAAGCACCATTCTTTCCATCTTTCTCCTTCTCCTCCTCCTCCTCCCTCTTCTCTTCTGCAGGACTCGCCAGCAACCGGGGCACCTGCAGCAAAGCACTTTGCAACACATGGACCCCACACCGATGACAGGCCACTAAACGAAAGTTGGAATGTAGAGCTGTCCATATTTGACATAGCGGCTTCAAAGGACTGAATCCCAAGAGTTCCTGCAGCAGCTCACTGCCCGTCCTGTTCGTGGTCAAGGCTAAGGCTTGAGCTTCCACTTCTTTCAAAATATTATGCACCATCAGCTCTGGGGGGGTAAAAAAAGGAAAGAAGTACATTAAAGAGACTGAGAAGGCGATATGCCTGTGTTCATCACCGAGGGGAGGAGGGTGGGAGGTAAAAGAGAACATGAGGGATAAAACTAATTCCCCGCACTTTGGAGACCCTAGAACATTTCTTTGCCTGTTCTGGATTTTATGCTTTTGAACCCACCCCTTAGTTGTTCCATACCTTTTTCTTCCCCGGCCTCCGGGCCCTCCTTCAGTGCTGACAGCGCCCTTCGGAAGTACCCCAGAGCTTCGGGACTCAGGTGTGGATGTTCATCTACAGCCGTCTTAGAGCTCCTGTCCGCAGGGGGCCGGTGGGGCCGTTCGCGGCCTGGTGGGGGTCGTTTTTTTTGTCGCCCCGACCCCCTGGCCCCGCGCCCCCGCTTGCCGCCAGCCGGGAACTGGCGCCCCGCCTTTCGGGGAGAGCGTGGGCCCAGCCCCATACGCGCTTCGGGACCCTGCCGTCAGTGAGAATTTCCCTGGCTGCAGGAATTCCCCGCGCCTGTAGGCCTGGGACCAGCACAGACCAGTATTACGTCATAGCGCCGCGACAACCCCGGCCCGGCGCGGTGGGTGAATCACCCGCGGGTGACTCCGCCCGGGACTCCGCCCCCTCAGGCATAGCCCAGAAAAGCTTCGGTACTCAGCTATCGTTGAGACCGCACCGCATCGCCTTCTCACACCTGGCCAGCACCCGGACTCTGACACAGGTAGAGTCACTTCGTCCCGCCTATCGGCTGGAATCAAAACTTCTCCAACTATCATATTTAAAGCCCTGGAGAACTAAACCTAGCAGGGACTCCTAGGCACTGTGGTCTGCAGGTAAGGCGCCCTGACCTGGAAGCCATGAAATCATGCCCTGGATTGGCCGCACTGGGACAGGCCTGTGCCGACCTGGACCAGAGCTCCAAATAGCCAAAGATATTGATCGATCCCTGAGGAGCTGCCTCGCCAGATCCCCCAACTTAGGTAGCTCCACTCACAAGGTCGAAACAGGCGAGTCCCATCCAGCCTTCTTCCCCTAGGCTTCCCAAAAGGAACAGTCAGCCTAGCCTGAAGCCCGAACTCAGTTGTCCTCCAATGAAACTTGTCTCCCCTCAGATTCCAACATTGGCTGACCATTCCATCCTAGTGGGATCCCTTCTCCAGACACAGTCTGCAGGCTTCCTTCAAAGCTACTCTTTGCTTCACAGATAACGCCGTTTACCTGAATCATGGCAGCGCTCATGAAGGGCCAAGTGTGTGTGGTCACCGGTGCCTCCAGAGGTATCAGTCGTGGCATCGCCTTGCAGCTCTGCCAAACAGGTGCCACAGTTTACATAACTGGGCGCCATGAGGACACCCTTCAGGTTGCTGCTGAGGCGGTAAGTGACCACCTGAGGAACGTCTTCTAATTAGCCACTCTTCTGCATCCATGCCCTTACCAGAAGTTTTAGTATTCCTCTACAAAAGATGAATATTTACTCAGAATATAATAAATAAACTGCATGAGTAACCTCAGATAAGACTGAATTTCACTACCAAGTGAGTTTTATGGGGGGAAAAAAAAGACATTGTGTTTGAGAGTTTCAGGGTTTCGGGAATTTCAGCTAAAGGCTTTTAGACCTGGGCTTTTTTCTGTTCTAGGTGAGATATTACTGAATTGTATGCTTTCATTTGACTTCTCTATTGGGTTTTTTTGTTGTTGTTTTGATTTGATTTTTTTTGTTACTGGGGATCGAACTTGGGTCCTTGCACTTGCAAGGCAGGTGGTGGCACCACTGAGCTAAGTCCCCAGCTCTCCATTGGGTTTTAGTAAAATAAATATTTGAGTACCTCTGATTTGCTAGGCTTGGAGAAAACTACTGGAGTTCCCAAGATTAATAAAATATAATTTTCACTCTTCAGAGTCCAGCAAGAAGTCAGATACAAAAACCAGGCATTTCAGTGTAATATAAGTGATAAGAGGGAGATGTGTGCAGCAGACTCCAGGGTTATGGAAGTGCATAGAGATAATAAAGGGAGTGGTTAGGGAAAACATTCTGGAGGAGGTGATCTTTAACTGAGATTTGAAAGGTAAATATTGGGTAAAGAAGGGCTGAGAATATTTCTCAGTGCTAGAGCACCTTCTGAACATTGCACAAGGCTGTGGGTTCTATCCCAGCACGCATGGGGGAGTGGAGAAGAATGGTGAAAGTCTATGAAATTGTTTGGCAATACAAAGGGGGTGTAGTGGGTAAGATGCCATCAAGCAAACAGGTGTAGCTTGTGGTAGAATGCTTGCCTAGCAAAGCCTTGGGGTTCAGTCACCAACACCAAAAAAAGTGATCCAGTAAGAAGATTTCAAATTTTCAAATAGACTTGTGTTTCTGATCGATTTTGAAGAATGAATTTCAGGCCAAATGAATAGATGTTGAATGAGTAGTTAGGAGGCATTGCTGTAGTTCAAGTGAGAGAGTAATAGGGTGGAGCATAGAGCTTAGGTCTGGAGAATAAGGGATTGTTCTTCCATAAGGTACTCTTCTTCCTCTGAGGCTGGGGGCTGGGGCACATTTGTAGAGGATGCAGCAGACCAGGAAGTGGAAATAGTTCCCTGATCCCTTTGATCTTTCTTTCTTTTCTTTTCTTTTTTTTTTTTTTTTTTTTTTTTTCTTCTTTGTACTAGGGATCAAACTGAGGACCTTGCACTTGCGAGGCAGGCACAGTGCTACTGAGCTCAATCCCCAGCCCCTCCCACTTACCAAGCAGGAGCTTTAGTGGAGTAGGGAAAAGAGGGCTGGGAGTGGTAAGAGTTCCAAGTGAGTGGTAAAGGGTAGGAGCTAAGGACATGAGAGTTGGAAATGACCAAGGACGAGGAAAACTGTAGTTACTGTTTTAGGAGCAGGCTCCATGTCTTGCCTTTTATCCTCAGCTTGCACATGAAAGGCTTTAGTAAATGTTTATAGATTTTTTTTTAAATGTTTATTATTACATGTTTTCAGTACATGAAGTTTACATTGATCTTAGGAAATAAGTACATATATAAAACACATCTTGATTCTTTTTTTTTTAGTACCGGGTATTGAACTTGGGACCTTGCACTTGCGAGGCAGGCAGTGGAAACACTGAGCTAAATCCCCAGCCTGATTTTCTTTTTTATTACCTTCCCCTCTCCACCTCCCTCCCTCCCTTCAACTCTAAATCTCCTTACCCCACTTTCATTATTATTGTTATTTTTAGATGAATGGATAAAGAAAATGTATCTTTATTCTGCTATAAAGAAGGATAAATTTGAGGTATTTTTAGAAAAATGGGTACACCTGGAAAATACAATGTTAAATGAAATAAATCAGACATACAAGCTTAAATACCATATAGTATCTCTAATTTGAGTTAGGCAAAGCACAAAAAAATAAAGGACTGATAGAAGTAAACGGGGAGAGGGTTAAGATGAAGAAGAACTAAACAGGAAAATAGATCTTTTGTAATTGGGAAGGTGTCCAGGAGACCAAGACTGAGGAAAGGGGGGACTGAGGGAGGGGAAGTAAAATGAGTTAAAATGTGTCATGTACATAGAATAGATACCCACAAGGAACGCAAACAGTATACTGTATATCCTAAGTGTTTGTAGACCTTATTTTATCTTATTATTTTTTGAGATTCACTGTGTAGCCCAACTGGCCTCAAACTCACAGCAATCCTCCTGCCTCTGCCTCCCAAGTTCTGGGATTACAGGCATGCACCACTATGCTCAGTGTTTGTAGATTTTTTTTTTAACTAGAATCATTTACTTTGGCAGGGGGGTGTGTCGAAGTTCAGTCCTTGCACTTGCAAGGCAGGCGGCACCACTGAACTAAATCCCTAGCCTAGGCATTTGTAGATTTTATACCTGAGATACCAAACCACCTTACCCTGTGAGTTGGCAGGATCCACTCACTATTCCTGAAACTACTCAAACAGAACACCAGGGAGCGATATTTCCTGCCATGTTGACTACAGGCTTTGATTCCTCTGATCAACTTCCCAGGCCCCTGTAGTTGGAGAAATTGCATTGTATCACACACTAATGTGTAACTGTAAGCTCATGTCCTCTGTTCTTCACTAGGCACAATCCCTTGGAGGCCGGTGTGTGCCTGTGGTATGTGATTCAAGCCAGGAGAATGAAGTGCGAAGCCTGTTTGAGCAAGTAGCTTGAGAACAGAATGGGCGTCTGGATGTGCTAGTCAATAATGCCTTTGCTGGGGTTCACGTACCCTCTGAACTTGATCCAATTCCACACTCCTTACACTGTGCCTTCCATCACCCAATCCGTTATACCTGCTTTCAGATCATCCAATCATTCCCCCTCCCTGTGCCTTCCAGGCAATCCTGAACGCCTTAGATAAGGCATTCTGGGAATTCCCCGTCTCCACTTGGGATGATGTCAATAACGTGGGACTCAGGTATGTGCTCTCCTTTCCCCGCTGCAATAGCCAAGACTCCCCTTCCTCACTTAGCCAGCCTAAAGACCGGGCCTTTTCCTATGTGCATTCTCCTTTTCCCTCCAGCCTCTCCCATCTCTTTCTTCTCCCTCTGTCCCCCTTATCTCTGGAGAAGTTCCATACAGCTTAGAGTCTGTACGTGGGAATGCCAACTTTGTTTCTGTCAGTCATTGTCATCAGACCAAGCTGTTGGCCTTGTTCTGCCTCACTCTCTACCCATCTAAATACAAGATCCAGGAGCCTCGCCCTCTTGGTAATTCACACAGCCTGTGGGCTACATTTTCAAAAATTGTTAGAGGGGAAATTTTTTTGCTTTAGATCATGAGGATGCTAATAAGAAAGAGAGGGCACCCACCCTTCTTAGCCTCCATATCCTCATTCCAGACACACATGTGAGTACATTCACAAGTCAGAGTTGGGACTACAGGAGTTCACAGGTTCACACATACATTTGGCATGGGAGTGGGATGAAACACATCATTTACAACTTGCCCAGCATAATATATACAGTTATGTCTCTGCCAGTTACTGTTGGAATGGTGTTACTCTCTCAGACAATTAAACTGCACTTGTCAGATGTAACCAGTTACCTGTGAAAGTAACCAAGAAGTCAAAAGTCAGATCTGTCAATCTTGCTTCATAGTTGTTGTTTTTTTTTTTCTTTTTTTTTTGCACCAGGGCTTGAACTCAGGTGGCAGAACCACTGAGCTAAATCCCCAGCCTTTGCTCCATATTTTCTGTCTTGGTGCAGTGTTAAGAAAAGCCTTCCCAATGGTCATGGTGGCACACACCTGTAATGCCAGCACTTGGGTGGTCGAAGCAGAAGGGTCACCATGAGTTCAAACTACATAGTGAGACCCGATCTCAAAAATAAAGAAAGAAATAAATAAAAGCCTTCCCTATCTTAAGTTTATAAACACATTCAAAGTGTTTTCTCTTAGTGGGCTTTTCTTTGTATGTTTGGTTTTTAGGTTGTGTTTTTGTTTTTGTTTTTGTTTTTGTTTGAGACAGGGTCTCCCAATATACTCTGGATTGGCCTTAAAACTACCTATGTAGCCTGGACTGGCCTCGAACTCATTATCCTCCTACTTCAGCCTCCCAAGTGCAGGATTACAGATGTGTACCACCATGCCCAACCGGGCTTTTCTATTTTACATTTAAATATTGTGTTCTTTTGGAATTCATTTTGAAATAATAAATAAGGTAGATACAGGGTCAATCCCACCCAACCCAAATAATTGGTCAGGTGTCCCAAGTCCATTCACTGAATGATTCATCTTTCTTCATTGCTGTGCTACATTCTGACTTACACTTGGATCTAATTATTGACTATCTTGTTTCATTGACTTACCTATCTGCTGTTATACCAATACTTTGCCCTTTTAACTATTATGTCATTGTACATTAGGAGTGATAGGCATGGTGGCACGTGCCTGTAATCCCAGCACTTGGGAGGCTGAGGCAGGAGGATCACTATGAGTTGGAGACCAGCCTGAGACCAGCCTGAGCTACATAGTGAGTTCCAGGTCAGTCTCAACTACATAGTGAGACCCTGTCTCAAAAAACCAAAAAAAAGAGTGGTGGTAGCGTAAGATCCCTTTTGCCCACAAGTCAGAATTCTGCTGCTACCCTCTCATGTGTATTATGTGTATTCCTCTCATTCTTTAGATTATTTTGTCAATTCCTTCAGAAGATCTTACTAAGATATAACTCAAATTGACTAAACATACGGGTTGATTTATATAGAACTGATGTTTTGCGTGCTATTCTTCTTAACTTTGGACAATTTTAGCTGCATGTGTTTTACAGATTTAGAGTTTTTCCATGCAGATTTAGAGTTTTTTGTTTTTTACCCCTGAACCATTTTGTTTATTGTTATCGTGGCGGAGCTCTTTTCTTCTTTTCATCTAAAGATTGTGGTTTCTCATCCGTTAGTAGTTAATTTTACCAGCTTTCCTCTTAGAATGTGACCCCAGGCTAACTCCCCAGGTTTACAGCTGCCTCTCTACAGCCTTTCCCCTCTGACTGCAGCCACTAGAGGGCACAAGAAGCCAGGGGCTGCAGCACCAGGCCAGCATTAACAGGTGTCATTCTTTCTCCTGCCTCACCTTCTAGAGGCCACTACCTGTGCTCAGTGTATGGGGCACAGCTGATGGTACCAGCTGGCGTGGCCTTATTGTGGTCATCTCTTCCCTTGGGGGGCTGAAGTATATGTTCAACGTCCCCTATGGTGTGGGCAAAGCTGCGGTAAGACCCCAGTGGCTCAGGGGTTAGTAGGTTCAGGACAGTGGTGGTACTTCTAGCTCCAGAGGTCAGTCTGCAGTGATCAGAATGGTAAGGCTGGCTGGCCCTCATCTCTCCCTCTGTCCCACCCATGGACATTTCCTTTCTTGGGCTCCCCTCAGTCTACCAGAGTAGATATCACACAGGAAGGGGGACAGAAGAGACCTCAAGGATCCTGGGAAGGGAAGCAGCCAGGGGCATCCCCACTGGTAGCAAGGAGGGTAGAGGAAGAAGGTGACATGGCCATGTGACCCGGCTCTCATTCTGACTTCTGTCCCTTCACAGTGCGACAAACTGGCTGCTGACTGTGCCCACGAGCTGCGGTGCCATGGAGTCAGCTATGTATCTCTGTGGCCAGGGTTGGTGCAGATAGAACTGCTGAAGGATTTTATGGCAAGGAATGAGCTATTTAAGAATCCTTTGTTTAATCAGGTTAGCAAGGGAAGTAAAGAATGCAGAGGAATTAGCTTCTCCCCCTCAATATCAAGAGTAAATATTCCCAGGGCTAGGGATTTAGCTCAGAGGTTCCACTGATGGAACCAAGTTCCATCCCCAATAGCAAAAAAAAAAAAGTAAATATTCCCACCTCTCAAGGGCTCACTATAGCATCGTGCACAGTGCTAAGCACTCTACACATAATTTTAATCTTTTTTTGGCGGGGGGTACCAGGGATTGAACTCGGGTCCTTGCGCTTGCAAGGCAGGCCACCGAACTGCTGAGCTAAATCCCCGGCCCCACATAATTTTAATCTTGTAAGGGAGATATCTTCATTTTACAGATGGTGAAACTGAAACCTAGAGAGAATAAGAAATTTGTTCCAGGACTGGGGACACAGCTCAGTAGTAGAGCATGTGCAGGTTTGGGTTCAGTCCTCAGCACTGGAAAAAAGGGAAAGGAAGGAAGAAAGGCAGGCAGGCATGAACAGACTTGTTCCAGGTCACATGTCATACAGGGAAAGGCTCTAGCTCTGGAGTCCAGGTACTTGACCCTGCACTGAACTAGCCCAGAAGGTCTAGACACTAGTTGGCACTATCAGATCTCCACTTAGTTTTTTGTTGTTGTTGTTGTTGTTTGGGTTGTTGTTTTGTTTTGGGTACTGGGGATCAAACTCAGGCCATTGCATTTGTGAGGCAGGCGGCGGAACCATTGAGCCAAATCCCTGGCCCCAGATCTCCACTTAGGAAAGGCAGCAGCTCCTGGGAGATAGCACAGGGCTCATCTGAGTTGGGGAGGAGTGCCTGTGGTGCCTTCTGAGACCCTGGGTCCCGCAGGTCCTGTGTGAGGTCCTTTGGCTTCTCTTCCTCCTGGAACAGAAGCTGGAGAGGGGAAAGATATAGGCAATGCTCTTGGAAAGTGACCTTTTATTTCTCAACCTGTTTTTCAGTTCAGACAAGTTTTCTCAGCAGCAGAAACCCCAGAATTGAGTGGCAAATGTGTGGTGGTGTTGGCAACAGGTGAAGACAGGGGCCAGCTGGTAACAGGAAAGGGCGTGGAGGTCTGCAGGGTAGGGGCAGCCAGTGGCCAGTTTTGGACTGAGAGATGGCTGAGAAATACTCTGAAATTCTCTCACTTTTGAGGCTCAGAGGGTTAAGACTCCCTATTTGCAAGCTGGCTTCTGGGAGTTGTGGCAGAGGAACAGAGAAAAATGGTTTTCCACAATTCCTGGCCTGTCTCAGTGCCCTGGCCCACTGGGTCCAAACCTTGTCACTCTGCACCATTCGCCTACCAATCATCTCCAACTGTGTATGTGCCGCAGACCCTGATATCCTGAGCCTGAGTGGAAAGGTGCTGCCATCATGTGACCTTGCTCATTGCTATGGCCTTACAGATGTGGACGGTAAGAAATATGGCTCACCAGCCGCCTTGCCTGCCATTCCTTGAGTCCCCTGCTCACTCCTTTCCCTCAGTATCTTCAGCCAGGGCTGGGGTGAGGAGTGGAAAAGAGGATCTGATTTTCCTGCCCCTTCTGTTATCCCCAGGCCGCCCTGTCTACGACTACTTATCTATGAGGTCTACTCTCCAACCTGTCGCCTGCCTGGGCTGGTTGGCCTCCTACTTGCCTGGCTTCCTTCGAATGCCCAAGTGGATTATCACCCTCTGCACCAGCAAGTTCTAACCCTCTTGGCTGACATCAGAGCTTTGCCTCAATTCCCACTTGGGCTCTGGTATTTGGTCTTGTCTCTGTGGAACAAAGAGCCCTTGCTCACCAACCAATGCCCCTGGTTTCTGCTGGGCATCTGTGGTGATTTCTAGGGTCCTTGAGAGAATCCTCTATGTGCCTGGGTTTTCCTTGTCTCTACCTTTTACTCTTTGTTTCAGTATCAAAATTGCTCTGGAGCCAGGAATTTAGCTCAGTGGTACCGCGGCCTGCCTTGCAAGCAAGCTCAAGGTCCCAAGTTCAACCCCTAGTACAAAAAAAAAAAATTGCTCTGGAGGCTAATAAAGGTTCTTGCTACCCCTTCAGTGTGTTATGAGTGCTGATTCTGTGCTTAGCAAAGCACAGTAAGTACTTAGGTTAGCACTTGGGGAAAGGAGTCAAAGATACACAAATGTGTGGGTTCTCAAAGGCTGTGTTGGTAGGACGAGGCCCCTTTCCTCCATCCCTGTTCCTGCTCTTCCCTACAAGCCTGTTTCCTGTGTCCTGGCTGAGAAATAGGGTCCTTCATGACTAGGAACATACAAAGTCACCCTGCTTTTACCCCTCATTCCACCATCTCTTCAGGGTGCCTGCTGCTCTCCAGCTGGGCCTGATCTCTGAGTAAGATCCAATCCGCCAAGGGCAGATTCCTTGGTGTTCTTGGTTTCCTGGAACTGGGGAAGAAGGCACTATCTGAATCCAAGTGAGGGACAGAGGACTAGCTGGTGCCACTGACACTCTCATCCTTCCTTGTGGAGTAGTGTCACCTGAAATGCTTTCTCCCAAACTGATTGCAAGAGCCCTTCTGGGCTACCTTGCCTGCTCAGCAACTGGTTACACTGCCACCCAGAGCACTATGGCTTTAGGAGGCCAAGGGCAGTTCTTCAGAAGCCACAGGTATCAGCTGTGAATGCACAGCACTGGAAGGGGCATCAGACCCAAAAATGGAAAAAGGAAGTCACAGGGGATCTGGGAAGACACTAACACAGTCAGCTGTAGAAACTTAAGCAGAAGACTTGTATTTGATCTTGATCAGAGACTTGTATTTGAGGAAGCTTACTGGGCTGAAGTGTGGACCAATGGAGAAGAGGTAGGCATGAGAGAAACAATGGGATGCTGGCCCAGGGTCATTATTGCCAGGGACCTGTTGGCAGTGGGGTGTGAGCCGAGGAGAGATTGTAGGAGGTGGTGTCTGCAGACTAGGGAGCTGGGCCTATGCCGAACTGCTGTGGTGTTATCCTGAATGGGGACCATGAGACCTGCAGCAGCCACAGAGAAAGAATGTGAACAGTGAAGGAGAAACCAGCTTGCCCTGAATTAGCCCTAAGAAGACACAGGGCTGGCTGAGATGCAGCCCACCCCCACCGGAACAAATCAAGGTGCTTGGTTGGTCCCTCGAAGATGATTAATCCCCAAAGGAGCCCAGGAAGTGATGGAGATGAGATTCTTGGTTTGCATTTTTAGTTTGTGCTTTTCAGAGGTAATGCATACACATGGCCCAGAATCTAAAAGGCCGGGAAGGGTTACAATGAAAATTCTCCCATCCCTGCCCACTAGGGCCCAGTCCCCAACCCAGAGGCAGCCAGTGCTCCCATACTCTCAGGTAGCCACAAGAACCCACACCAGGAAAGCAAACATCGGAGCATATTGAAAGAGCAGAGCTGACCGTGTGCAAACTGGCCTCTTTATCTGAGGGATTATTTTCCAGTTTCTAAGGCTTGTTCTGGCTTTGTGTGCCACCTCTCAAGTGATACAGCAGCCTTTGGCCCAGAGCCCTGACCACTCGAAGGTCCTTATGCAGCTGTGCCATCAAAAGTTCCCTGTCCCAACAGCAGGAAGGTAAAAGAGCATGTGATGGCTTACAGAGTGGAGAATAAGGGTCAGGGAGGGCTGCTGTGAAAGCCTAGAAGGGACCAGCCCGAGTGACCCAGCCCAGGCCCAGTCTCCTCCACAGCAGCAGACTCCTGCCAGGAATGTGAGATGCACATCACACCTAAAGTGAGATTCCATCTAGAGAAATCACCCAAGGGTCAGGAGTGTCAAAGTGAGGTGGACAGTGGTGCCTCTGCCTCTGTCCCCACAGATGTGAGTCTGACCAACTGCCCTAGGCTAAACAGATGCCAGAGGCAGGGCTGGATCGAGGCAGGAGAGTCTTCAGTTTGGGGGACAAGTCTGAGTTTCCATCAGATGCTCAAGGCCCTTTGGGCCCACAGTAGGAGGGGAGGTTCCTAGCAGGCAAGGGAAATGGTAAGGTGATGTAAGTGATGGCAGGGTGGGGTTCCAGGCACAGAGAATGAGTGGTGTGCATGAGGGCCCCACAAGGGCGTGGTGGACGAACCAAAGCAAGGTGGCTGAGTCCAGAGCTGCCCTTTGTCCTTCCTCATCCCTGCTTCTACCCATCTTCAACTCCCAAAGGCCTTGATAGTGTCCAGAGTGTCATGGGAGGGATCTGGTCCCTTTGGCTGTTTGGCCATTCCTCGTAGAGCCCCACAGTGACTGTGGAAGTCACTGCAGCAGCCCCTTCCCTGTCACCCTGGAGTCCCTGGTCCTCGCCTCCTGGGTTGGTCCATCCCACCCGCAGAGCTCCCCTCCTTCTGCTTCTTCCTGCCTCCATCCTCTCAGGCCTGCCATCCTTCCTCTGCTCCTCACGACCCTCAGTCCCTCGCCTGCCCTTCTCCACTGGTCCCTCCACTGGAATCTTCCCTAACCTCCCATCCCGCAGCGCCCAGCCTGAGCAGGAAGGGGCAGATGTGTACAGGCCAGCCTATTAGACAAAGGTCCAGCTCTGGTGCTTTCATTTGGAGAACCATGGTAAGACCAGGGTGGGGTCACGACACAGCCAGGCCCCTCCTCAAACAGAACACAGCCTTGTTTCTTCCACGTTTCACATGCCTACATGGTTGTGACATTCTAACCCCTGCCTTTCTCTGCCAGACCTACCTTGCCCCTACCTCCTACCTCCAGAGAGCCAAGGGCCTGGTCTATCTCAGCTCCACCCCCACACACACACGAGGGTGCCTCCACTCAGTGGTCATCCTCAGAACCTCATACTGTGATGGAGACCACCCTGAGTGAGCTACAAATTCGTAAATTGACTTTTCATAATAAAAGTCTGGATCTGCCTGTTAGCCCACAACGCCTTGTCTGAAGAGGCAGCAGTTGGTATATGAACAGTTGGTGTGAAAGGAACAACTCCCCATGCCACTGGTTACAGCAGAGGTTTCAGTGGTCCATGACACAGTGATGTCTCGGATGGCGAGATAATAGTGTAGCTAAGGGCAACATGAGTCGTACACAAAACTTCTATGAAGGCAAAAATTAATCTATGGGAAAAAAACAAATTTCCCATTAATCAGTGATCTGTTCCCACTAGAATGCCTCATCCCTTGTTGTTAGGACCCTGCTCGCATCAGTGCTCTCCACTCCACTGTTCCCCGCACCGCACCTTGCCCCATCAAGAAGCTGTGTGTTCAATAAATAATGGCAAGCTTTAGGAGATGGCATCTCAGCCAGATAAGAGCTTTGACTGTCCTGGCCCCTCCATTTACGCATTAAGATCTTGTCTTTTATTATCCTGCCACCCTACCCTCGATCAGGTGATTGGAAGTTTGCAAAGCTTCCAGTAACGCTGAGCAGCAGAGGAGGCAGGAATCACCCCAGGACTGAGCAGGCGCTAAGGAGCGGCACAGGCTGGATCTTCTGCCCAGTGGTATCAAACACGGCACAGCATGAGTTTTAAAGCAGTGAAAACAGATTGTGCTCATTTTCCATGGGGGGCAGAGCTGAGCCCCTTTCAGATATGTGCAGAGGTGACATGGGCAATTGAAGGAGAGAATGGTAGGTGGAACTAGCAGGGCCTCAAGGGAGTGGGAGTGGCCAGCTGTGTTTTGTTAGCTGGTAGTTATCTAAATTAGGATTCTCACCTCACAAAGGCTGGGGGAGAGAGAGACCTTTTCCTTCCTGTTGATTATATTTTAAAGGAGGACTTTCAGGTCCTTGAGAGAGTTGGTTCTGCTTGCAAGAAATATATATTGTAACTGCAAGCTCTTTTTTAGTAAATGGGAGGTTGGGGCCTGTTGCCCAGTGCAGAATAGAACACATTAGAACATTTCCCAGCAACATTAAGCTTTCTTAATCAGGAACTTGGGTCTGGGGTCATCCTAGGGACACAGCCTTATGCTGCTAGAGCCCTGCTAGAGTTTGGTCAAGTCTTTTAGTGCAGAGGTTTGACCATAGCTGTCCTGTTCCAAGAAGTCTGCAGTCCCACAGTGCCCTGAGTGCTGCTGTCCACTGCCCTCTGCTCCAAGGCACCCAGAGGACTCAGTAGTGGGCTGGCTTTAAGGGATGAACAGTTTTCCCCAGCCAAGGCCCAGGTCCAGGTTCAGCTTGGAGCTAGGTCAGGAGATCACAGGCCTGCCTGTGCTTGATGCCAGAAATGGAGAGGAATATGTCTGTGCTTAACTCTATAATGGGGGATAAGGAGGAAAAGGCCCTTCCTCAGTCTCTTGGAAATGCAAGGGAATCCTGTGAGGAATGCTGGGAAGGAGGCAGGAGGAAGTGGGGCCATGCTTAAATTTCTGTTAGTGCCTATCAACTGAGGGCTTGGTGGACTCCTCCTTGTGGGAGAGATAGTTCTAAAAGAAACAAGCAAAGCCAGAATAGATGTGGCCTCAATGTCCTGAGCATCCCCAGAGGTTCCTGGGCAAGAGGGGGTACAGTGGGGCAGCTGAACACTCCATGTTGTAGGAGCTGAGAGAACTTATATTTATTGAGCAACCAAAACCTTCTACCTAGATCTTACTTCCATCTTTTCATCTGCTCTACAAAATAAGTAATCTCTTACAGCTGAAGAAACTGAGGCTCAGAACAGTTGAGTCACTGGGCAGTGGAGGCACATGCCTGGAAGACTGAGGCAGGAGGATTTCAAGTTTCAGCCCAGCTCAGGCAATTTAGAGAGATTCTATCTCAAGAAGGGTGGAGGGATTTAGATCAGTGATTCCTCTGCCTGCCTTGCTAGCGCAAGGTCCTGAGTTCAATCCCTGTACCGGAAAAAAGGGTGGTGGTGGGGAGCTGTGGATGTAACAGTGTTAGTTTCCCTTGGGTTCAATCCTCAGTACCACTAAAAAAGTTTAAAAGTTGCTCATTTGACCAGGATTGTAAGTCTTCCAAGTAAAATAGTCTGGATTCAAACCAATATATAAAACTCCAAGTGTAAGCTCTTTTTCTGTTTCAGGCTGCCTCTGCTGCTTTGTTCTTGTTTGGTTTTGGCTTTGGAGGGCCTTTTATTTGTCTGCAAGAAGAGTGCTGGGGATGGGCAGAGC